TCATAGCAAAAGCATCTCAGGACCCCCACCCCCAGTGAAGAAACTTTATCCAAAGGTAATTGGATGTGTCATGGTTGGGAAGTTGTGCGTCTCTATAATGCCAACAAAGCAAGTCCCCGCTGGAATTGGGTACCTTTTATCACCCCTGCTAAAATAGCAAGAGACTTGCCAGAGAAATAGTCTACCTGCCCGCAAGGATTTCCTATCTCACACTGAAGTAATTTGACCAGATATTTCTGGTCCTTGGCAAACACTAGCTTAGTGGTCTATCCGAACGGAATAGGAACGTTCCTTTTGGGAACCAAAAGAGGGCAAAGCTACCTTTTCTTAAAAGATACGATAAAATCCTGAAGTTATTCAAATCAACAATGGAATGCCCCCAGATCAGGATTAAATTCCACTTTTAGCTTGTGAATCCTGCTCTAAAGCCATGCTTTAAAAAGTTGAACAATTTAAAATAATTGTGCAGAATAATGACTAATAATTAATTAATTAATTAATTATAAATAATGGTAATAATAAGGATTAATTAATAATAGGTTAATGATGTAGGCCATTTTAGTTCAAAGAATTGCGGAAGGGGGTAGGACAGGACCCTGCACTTTATACAGTGGTACCTCGGGTTACATACGCTTCAGTTTACATATGCTTCAGGTTACAGACTCCGCTAACCAAGAAATAGTACCTCGGGTTAAGAACTTTGCCTCAGGATGAGAACAGAAATTGCGCAGGGCAGCGTGGCGGCAACGGGAGGCCCCATTAGCTAAAGTGGTACCTCAAGTTAAGAACAGTTTCAGGTTAAGAATGGACCTCCAGAACGAATTAAGTATGTAACCAGCGGTACCACTGTATAATCATCCTTTAAATCATTTCTGTACCACAATATAGCAAACTGAGGCAACAAATGTTACAAAAATACACAATAAAACCATTCGTACAAATTACTAATAAATATATACGGTTATCAATTTCTTCTCCTCCTGACATTCCACCCCACTCAGAACCTTTGTCTCCTGGCTCTCACTAAGGGCCCAACCCTACAAGTCAGCTCCCCAAACCTCACAGCAAAGAGGGTGCCTGAAATCTGCTGACATTCGTCCCCTCTAGGCTTGCTTTTATGGCCAGACACCAAAGTTGATGGCACTTCCTCAGTCATGTTCCCTTCAGCAATGTCCTAATCCCCATCTAGAGACAAGGCTTATTCTGCATGAAGTTCCCTTTGCCCACACCATTCAGATCACTGCCTATCACAGGTGTAAAGTGGATTTATTTTCAACTATGTGCTCTAAGCAAATTGGTACATACAATAAGCAGAGTAAGAGCCTCTTTCCCCGCCTAAAGGAAATCTATCAGGCATGCTACATCGCAAAACAGAACGCTGCAAGCATTCTGAAGCACTGCCTCCCCCTTCCTTTTATTAATTAGCTATGTTTCCTTTCACAGCTGTCCTTTCCCCCCCCACTCCGACTGAAGTTCACCACTATAACCCCTTACATGGATTTCGGAATCATCAGCTGACAAGTTTCCAAGCATTACTCCCTCATCAGTAGGACTAGAAACTTGGGTTTTTCAAAACGAATCGAGTCTCGACAATGGTTTCATTCAATATTCCACTTACCACGAAAGTAAAATGTCAACCAATTCTTGCAATGGAATAGCAGAAGAGGCAAACATGTTTCTAGCTAGAAGCTTGGAAGTATTACGTCCACCAGCCACTGAGGCCACCATGAAGGAATTTATCGCATTCCCAGACTTTTAACAGCAGGGTTGCTGCAGTCATGCTGTTTTTTCCAGGACTCTTTACTATCTTCCCCCCAGCAATGAATCTTCACTAAATCACTGAAGATGCTGCTGCACAATAAAAATAGATGTTGATGAACTCTCCAGAGTTCCCCAATTCAGTTTCCCCACCTGGTTGCCACAAAGTTACTTGTTTCTACCCTTGTTATATCCAAAATGTACAGGGAAAGGCTGTGCAGGTTTTCAAGCACAGCACAAAGAAACTCTTCCCCGAACTGATATTTAATAAAAGCTTGACTAAAAGAGGGCAGCAATTGTAAAATACATTATTTCTAAAGTTTAGGCTAGTTTCATTTGTGCTCTTCCTCAAGTCCTCTAAACCGAATTGGTCAGACCACACCTGGAATACCATGTCCAGTTCTGGACACCACAATTTAAGAAGGATGCTGATGTCCTAGGCTCTGTGGTTTAACCCACAGTGCCACCCGCGTCCCTTCACACTAGTAGCCAGCAAACCTTTACAGTACTAGCCAGCAAACCTGTTTCTCCACTGTCTTTCAGCTGGTGGGAGAGCGTGGGGGGTGATATGTGCACTTTCCCAAATTAATTTTAGAACACAACTGCACTCTAGAGACATTAGTGATAGATTGAGTTCAGCATCTCTTTCAATGCCAAGCTATTAATTCTAAAGTTTGCTTGACAAAAAAATACACACGTACATACAGTGTGTTTAAACAGTGCCGTCGTTTTCAGAAAGGAGCAAAACCTGACAGCCAGCAACAGCCCAACCCTTCCCCAGATTTCTGCTCTCAATATGGTTTTGGACTCCTGACTCTCATCAGACCCAGCCAGCATGGCCAATAGGGATGATGGGATTTGTAGTCCGGAACATCTAAAAGATGCCAGGTTAAGCAAGGATGGTCTACTGAGTGTGGGAACAGACGCTGGAAGTAGCCTACAGAGATGCAAACTGATAGCATTGTTGGCCAACACAAGACTACTAGAAGCAAGGCTTGAACCTTCCTTCCCTCTCCGCAGTCACTGCTCATCAGTCAAAATTGCCTTGTAGCATGAGGAGTGATCCTTGAGCTATTAGTAGAAATTGACTGAAGTGTTACTAGCAAATATAACAGAAGTGGATGTTAGTCTTACGTAGAGACAAGATGTTTGGTGCCAAAAGCAGCCAAGCCACTTAAAATTCATTTTCAAAAGTTACATCTTGAAACATTCAAACGACGTATATTTTTAGGTTGTTCTCCAATATTGCTGGTAGGTAATGAAAGAAATGCACATGACATTTATTTTCTTCTTCTTTAAATAACTCCTACAGGTGAAAACCTGTAGGTGAAACCTGTAGGTGAAAACCTACAGGTGAAACTCCTACAGGGACACGGGTGGCGCAGGTACGCAGGTGGTGTTGTAGGTTAAACCACAGAGCCTAGGGCTTGCTGATCAGAAGATCGGCAGTTCGAATCCCTGTGACGGGGTGAGCTCCCATTGCTCGGTCCCTGCTCCTGCCAACCTAGCAGTTCAAAAGCACGTCAAAGTGCAAGTAGGTAAATAGATACCGCTCGGTGGGAAGGTAAACGGCGTTTCCGTGCGCTGCTCTGGTTCGCCAGAAGCAGCTTAGTCATGCTGGCCACATGACCCAGAAGCTGTACGCCAGCTCCCTTGGCCAATAAAGCAAGATGAGCGCTGCAACTCCAGAGTTGGCCACGACTGGACCTAATGGTCAGGGGTCCCTTTACCCTTTACCTTACAGGTGAAATGCTTGCAAAAACGACAACAACAACACAAATACTTAAAGTTTATCCACATCTGCCCGAAATTCCATTACTGTAATATAGAAGCACAAATTTATTCAATGCAAAAAAAAAGAAAAGAAAAAATGGGGCTGGGGAGGGGAAACACAGAACAGAATATGGCATTATTTCTGACATAAGTAGCAAAAAACAGTGAGCCTTGGCTCTGATCCAGAAATGCTACACAACAGAACTACTCGGTGTTATCAGTTCTGATTGAATTTTGGGAGTTGGGGGGGGGGGGGAGAAGAGGGGAAAGGAAACTCCCGGCTTTGAATACCCTGCCCCCAGCTGCACTCCTACCCCTTCCTTATTGGGAAAGCCCAGCTTCTGTTGAAAGACAGCTCAGGTCTTCATTAGGAGCTGAGGTGACACAACAGAACTGCAGAGCCTTACAAAGTGTTGGTGCTGACCTTTAAAGCCGTAAACAGCCTCAGTCCAGTATATCTGAAGGAGCGTCTCCAACCCCATCATTCTACCCAGACACTGAGGTCCAGCGCCAAGGGCCTTCTGGCGGTTCCCTGAGAGAAGCCAAGCTACAGAGGGCCTTCTCGGTAGTGGCGCCCTCCCTGTGGAACGCCCTCCCACCAGATGTCAAAGAGAACAACAGCTACCAGAGTTTTAGAACAACAGCTACCAGACTTTTAGAAGACATCTGAAGGCAGCCCTGTTTAGGGAAGCTTTTAATGTTTGATGTATTGCAGTATTTTAATATTTTGTTGGAAGCCGCCCAGAGTGGCTGGGGAAGCCCGGTCAGATGGGCGGGGTATAAATAAATTCTTCTTCTTCTTATTATTATTATTACATACTGCACAGATGCATATTTTCATTCGTTCTTTCATACTGCATGGGTGTTTTGCAATCGGCACAGCTGCTGCAATGAAAAGCCTAGTTTTGGGTTTGCTGAGAGGCGTGGAGGGGTGGAGGAACAGCCTCTGCAGTGCCTTAAAAAAATATACTAAAAAGGCATTGTGGCAGAGCCAAGGACTGTCCAGGAAGGACATGATTATTGTTCAGTGCAGTTAGCAAGCCCCCAAGACCCCCTCTTTCCAATTTAATGCCTCTTAGCTGAGAAAGGATCCAGCTCAATTCCTCAACTCTTTCTCCATTCTTCTGCTGATACACCCATGCACATAGTACTAATTATTAGGAGTCATAAACAATAATGACAGTCTCAGGTAATATGACACTGCCTATTGATTTATCCTTTCAACAAGACATAAGGCACGGTCCTGAGATGTAGGCTCACAAAAAGGGCTTCCCTCACTGTTGGCAACCACAAAATACGTGCGTGCACCAAGGGCCATCTGTCATAGCCAGTAACAGATGCTCTGTGCACAGACAAACCACATTTTTAGTTGTGATGCTTTCAGCTATACGGCTAAGGAAAATGATATTAGGGAACTTCCAAGAGAGGAAAAGGTCACTTCATTTGCTCAAGGTATAGAAATACGTAACTAAGTATGTTAAGCTTTTAATGACTATATATATGACACACTCCTTTTAAGGGAGCAATTTTCAAAAATTATACAGGACAACAGGAGAAATACTATGTTTATCCTCCGTGTACAATATTATCATATTCTAGATTGTTTAGCAAGATTATTAAAACAGTAGCCTTATCATCGGGCCGCCAAATTCTAGCTAAGCATATAAATTAAATGGTTCAGAACAATCAGGCATACATAATGTTCCACCAAAGTAAACATGAGTCAAGTGCTCAGATCTTATGATCATCAATCAGGTCAATTAATCTTGGCAGGAATACATAACGAAGGTCATACAGGAATGAATTTCCATTTCAACTGGCACTGCAACCTTAGAAAGCAGTTCAAAAGCCATGTAAGCAGTGTCCCTTTACTTTTAAATCTGTTCAGCTCCTATGGAACCAACCAAGGCCTAACTGACGCAAGCCACAACTATGTGCAGTGGTTTGTAATGCTGTCGTGTAGGCACTGCTCAGTAGAGGGTGTGATGCTGTTCATGAGAAGCTGTTTCCCCACACGGTTCGGTGGATTTCAGCCAATCACAACTCACATAGATAGCACAGAACATGGCACAGTACCCCACGCATCAGTTGCATTAGAACCAAACCTCAGAATACAACCAGAATCAAGTGAAAGCAACTTCTTCTAGAACAGTCCTGGTATATTCCCAGGAACCAAAAACCAAGAACTGCGATTCCGATTTTAAAGCTTGTGCATGGTGCAATGTATGTCACCGTACACTTGTAATATACCTGGGAACAGAGACTACGGAACCCACTGGTGGCAAATGCCCACGTTTTCAGTTGATGGCAGCACCAATGTCAAATTGCATCAGTTTACAGCAAAGGTGTTGTGCTCATGCTGATGCCGTGAACTAAATTTACCCCAAAAGAGCATTTAGGAATTCAAGTCACTGTTCAGTACATTACCACCTCATCACAGGCCTGATGCAGCAGAAGAAATCAGCACTAGCTGATTAAGAACGGTGGTTCCCAATCCTGGGAACTGAGCCTATGTTCCACTCACAACCTCACAGGGAGGAAAAAGGCTTCTCCACTCTGTCTGCTGCCTAATTCAGGTGCTCCACGATTAGGGAAGGACTGACAGCAGCCACATGCATGGATGAGACATACCCCAGTTAATTCAAGTATTTCCCTCTATGAAGCAAGCTTTCAGTTTTATTCTCTTGCTGGAATGTTACGTGGCCTAGATTTGGGTCTCTGTTTTTATACTTTTGGATAACTTACATCTGAATTAAACTAATGTCTGTATACACTATGTGCATCTATCTCCTCCAGAAACATGTTCTGTGATGTTTTCGTTTTCTTCCCCTAAGGCAGAAGCCACCAACAGAAGGCCAGGCATTAGTTGTGGTATTCTGACAGTAGGAAAATACAGTGTTGCATCCTTCTCCATCTGGTGTGTGTGTGTTCTTCCTCCTCAACAAACCCCTCGATTTTAGAGGCGGATGCTTAGCCAGGTTGCAAATTGTTTTAACTTCTGCATGTATCTGTTGTTTCTTATACGCTCTTTCAGCTTCTCAATTAAGGTTTCTTCTTTCCAGATTCCTTTATTTTTCCTCACGGCTTTCAATTCAGCTCGAAGGAGCCTCTTGTGGAGTTTCCAATATATCCGGGATTCGTGAGCTAGTCCGTCAATACGGACTGTCTTGCCAAGCCCTCGTCTCAGGATTTCTTCATTTAGGCAGATACTGGAAAATCTACCCTGTTCGGAATAAACATCGATAGCGCTGTTGAGTGTCTTACACAAGAATTACAGAAAACAACAGCCACATTAAAGGTAAAGGGACCCCTGACCATTAGGTCCAGTCGTGACCGACTCTGGGGTTGCGGCGCTCATCTCGCTTTATTGGCCGAGGGAGCCGGCGTACAGCTTCCGAGTCATGTGGCCAGCATGACTAAGCTGCTTCTGGCGAACCAGAGCAGCACACGGAAACGCTGTTTACCTTCCCGCTGGAGCGGTTCCTATTTATCTACTTGCACTTTGATGTGCTTTCGAACTGCTAGGTTGGCAGGAGCTGGGACCAAGTAACGGGAGCTCACCCTGTCACGGGGATTCGAACCGCCAACCTTCTGACCGGCAAATCCTAGGCTCTGTGGTTTAACCCACAGTGCCACCCACCTTAAAAATATTAAATATGCAGAGATTAAGGCTGCAACTCTATGCATTTTTGCTTGGCAATAAGTCCCAGTGAACACAGAGGGTCTTGAGTATATATGCTTAGGATTAGGTTTCATGGATGCATATCCATTCCCCACCCCATTTTTATTTACCTTACTTACTACCACAAGGCAATCAAGCGCTGAGTCCTTCCTTTCCAGAAGTTGGAACCACATCATCTGTGGGGGTTTTACCTCTTCTTTCAACCAGACCGTGCCATCTGGTGTTAGCTCCACACCAGCAAGTCTGATCAGCAATAAACCATCTGAATTCCCTAAGGATGCATGCACAATAACATTGTTTAATTACAACATTATCAGAGACACTTTGTTGGCTTAATAAATCTAAGCAGCTGGGGTTCTGATCTGCTAGGTTTACATGGAAAATTTCGCAGCTTGAGTGAATATTCTTGGTTTTGCAGCTAGAACTGTGGGTTTTGGGGGCTTTTTGTTTTAGTTAACATTTGCCATGGGCTGATAGAGCCAAAGCAACTTCAGAAATCATTTGCCTTGTAATATTTCCAAGATTCTCCTTTATTATGGGATTAATGTGGACTCCCTACCATATTTTGCCTCTAACAGAGTCAAGCAACTCATCAAAGAAAAAAATTATTTGGACTCTAAACAGAGGGACCTTCATTCACTTTTCCAGATGGCATACGCATCCTGGTATCCAATACATAAAACATCTTTTGGGCTGGAGCAATACTTTATTAATCTCATGCTGGGACCACTTAGAAAAGTATTTACAGCTTTGCATTCTCAGTGCATGCCCTCTGCATATATAATGGGAAGATTTAATAACAAAGACGTTGCATCTGTGAGTCGGGAAATGTGGAGGACATTGAACCCTATTTGTTACGGTGCCCTTTATATACATCCCCTAGAAAAAAATTCCTCGACTACATCCTTTGCTCTCTTTCCAAGCCACCTCCCCTTGGGCAAATTTCTATTTTGCTGGCTGGCAATAACGTATTTATTACTGCACTGGTTGCAAAATTTGCCTTGGCTGCAAGTAAGTTGAGAGCTAGGCACCAAGACAAGTATCATAAGGGGAAGTGTGAGATGTGGAGTGCTTAACTTATGCAGGTGTGATTTTTGCATTTTTGTATGTTTGCTTTGCTGTTGCTGTTGTTCAGTTTTAAATCAAATATTTGTATTCTACGCATTGTGACATAGAAAGCTTATAGCTTTTAGCTATAATCCATTCATATTTCCAATGATGTGGAATATAAGAACCTTCCATCACCAAAGACCAACAGTACTGTACGGCATTCTGTATCAAAAATGGTCAGGATACAGACATGAAAAAGAAAACATATTTTGACGTTGCTTATTTAAATGGTACAGGCTATACACCTGCGCTGTGCACCTGACAGAACAACACTTGAGGAATGAAAAATAACATAGACAACCCTTGTAAATAATCTCCTGTAAGGAGTGACAGTTAACCTTAGTCCCACAGCATGTGTTTCCAAGGCGTGCAGAAGGCTTGAGAAAATAAGAAGTATGTGCTTCAAATTTTATACTATAAGTACAAGCTGCTCAAGCTATAGCGTGTGAAGTAGTCCTCGTTTAGAAAATGTTCACTCTATAGCTAGGATAGGATGGATTATACTTGAAAAATACTAGGCCCTTTGTCTTTGAAGTAGGAAAACAGTCAACGGTGCAGTTATTTTCATCTGTGCGACACTGTTATGGAAATACAATGTTATCTCTACATCAAGCCATGCAGAAGTAAGAAGGGAGCACATGGTAAGTACAATAGTTCTAGAATTCCAGAATCACCACGCTTAAGAATTACTTTTAGCCCAAGGGCTTAGTTATGCTCAGCTCAGTAAGATTTTTGCTACCTTTTACTTGAACAGTAGACCCCAAGCAAATGGCTTTTGAAATTCTCCTCAGTTGTATCTCATGTAGCATGGGGAAAAAGCAACCCTGAATTGCCTCTGAGTTAAGTGGAACAAGTTGTGCAACACTTTGGGTCCTTGCTATTCTATTTTCACTTTGCTGGATTTCATTTCCCATGGATTTCTCAAAGCGATTAAGCCAGCAATCCTAACACCACTTCCCTGAGAGCAAGTCTCATTGAATTAAATACTAGGATTACAGTTAAAGCACTCAAATTCTTTTGCAATGTCTAAGCACATATTGTATTTGCTTTGCGTATGCATTTTCTGGGGATTCCATTCAATGATAGCAGGCAGATTGGGATATTATTAAGTATCAAAACCAAAAAGGACTCTTGTGGCATAAGCTTTCCTGGAATAAACTCCTTTTCATAAAATGCATGAAGTGTTATTCTGAGTTTGTACATACATACCTACATGATTGGGGTGGTGGAATTGTGTGGAAGGGTGAGGTCAGGACAAAATGAGCGGAAAGGTACAGACTGTGACAATCATGCTATTAACAGTATCAAGTTTGCAGATAGTTAAATAATGTTTAACTTGGCCACTATGGGCTCACGCATGTCTTTCATCCTACTTACATCTTCTCTGCAAAGATGAAATGATTGGAAGGGTAATGGGAACATGTTCAATTTCCAATCCTCGTTCACTTATTCGGTGCAACCGTCCCCGCAACTTAACGTTCTTCTCTATAAATTCCACTGGTATTTCCATAGCAGTTGTGAATTTGGTTGTCTTTTCATGAAAAAAGGAAAGAGACAGGGGAGAGGGAAGAAAAAAATGAAGAACTTGTAATGTCCGGATAGATCTCTGTAATCATTTAATTCACATAACAAGATACCAGCAAATGTTTCCAAGCTATAACCCGTTATAGGTATCACTCAATGGCAAGTTGTCATTCTATAAACCTATTCTATGAAGCAGTTTAAGACTCTGTGATCCACATATCACAACTCACCTTCAAGCCCCTGACATAGAATGGGCTATACATTGAAACAATTGAAGAAAATCAGGCCTTACGAGAAAATATATGTGTATATCTCTCCCCTTCTTCTTCTTTTTACTTAAGAGCTGTTTCACACATTATGGGCTGCCGATGAGTGCACATTCAACAAAGGAGAGCAACCCCTCACAGTTCCCTTCTGAATATTATCTGTGTGAGACATGGGCTTGCAAACATGCTTGTTGCATTTTACCATTTTAAAGTATATTCCTGGGACATTTCAAAATTTAACGTATGATGTTGCCCTATAGACATCCTACTAGCAACGTGCTACTAGCAACTTCGGCACATTTCCCTCAATGGGATCAGGTCCTCAGCCTCAACTCATCTCAGAAGGAAAAGGAGCCAGGTTTTGGGGGGTGGGGAGGGGAAGAGAAGTGTGGAGGGTGGATGCCCACCTCTGAAAAAGCAGTACGGATGTAGGAGAAGCTGGTAAATGGAGCAGGGCCCAGCAGAGTAACTAGAGTTTACCACCAGAATGGTCTTTCGCTATGTTGCTCATATCACATCTGGCTTCTATTACTGAGGAGGTCAAGCCACCAGGAATTAATTTATTACCCAATCCTTCTCTCCTGTTGTCCTGCAAGGTCTCTTCACAGAAACAGAAGACCTTGCAAACAACATCCGAAGGTTCTGTAAATAAACATAATGAAACAAGTCTGCTGATTGCGCATAGTCTGGCTTGCCAAAAGCAACTGACATGGCATATTCTTAACATGGAAAATACTCCAGTGAAACCATGTTTGGCCACAGAAACTGCACAGCGCTGACTAATTTAAAATTTAAAACATAGCAAGACCTGCTCACACACTGAAGCCGACTCCTAGGCTACATCTCAACTAGACAAGTTGCATATAAAAACAAAGGGATGCAGGTGGTGTGGTGTTCTAAACCACTGAGCCTCTTGGGTCAGCAGTTCAAATCCCTGCTCCCGTTGCTGTCCCAGCTTCTGCCAACCTAGCAGTTCGAAAGCACACCAGCACAAGTCAATAAATAGGTACCGCTGTGGCGGGAAGGTAAACAGCATTTCTATGCACTCTGGCTTCCGTCACAGTGTTCCGTTGCGCCAGAAGCAGTTCGGTCATGCTGGCCACATGACCTGGAAAGCTGTCTGTGAACAAAAGCCAGGTCCCTCGGTCTGAAAGCGAGATGAGCGTCACAACCCCATAGTCGCCTTTGACTGGACTTAACCATCCAGTGGTCATTTACCTTTTACCTTTTAAAAACAAAGTAAAAGCCCACCCTCTGGCTTGCAAGATACAAAATGAAATTCAAAGCAAGAGCAGAGGTGGGGAACGGTAAAGGTGGAAGACTGAGTTGGAGAAAGATGGTGAGCAGCCAAGTTTTGAAGGAGGTGTTTAAATGCAACAACAGGAGCCAGATGGATGGCAGGAGGCAAAGCGTTCCAATGGCAAAGAGGGAGGATAGTCAATGAAGTGGTAATGTGTCTCTCACATTGCCATTATCTGTTCTTTTACTCCCTGCCAACCTACTACTCATGGTACTGCTGCTACTATTAATATTGCTACTGCTTCACACATACCACTTTTCTGCACTGGCCCTTGCACACAGCCACTCACTATATCACCAGCCTGAGATGACAGCTCCTGAAAAGAAGAAATCAGGGGCCTGTCAATGTGGTCTTCAGAAATCCCAGTGGGCACATTGTGACATTTGAATCTTGATTGCTTATGGACCCGTCACTAATTGAACACATGAAACAAATTGCATACACATACACATACACATATATATATATATACACACACACACGGTATCCCATTCTCCATCTAGGAAGGAGAGGGTGTACCAACAGTGTAAGATACCTTTTCTAAAGCAATGTATCTCATCAGATAGTTCTGCGAATAAAACAAAAATCATGTGAAGGCAGATTTAAAAAAAAAAAATCACACAGTGATGCTACTGTCCATCTCATCTGTAAATTACGAACCCCCATTTGAACAATATAGGTTTCCACACTGTCAAGAAAATGATTCATATACTCATAGGAGGAGATCAACATAGATCGCAAAGTGGAAAACTGCCCAGGAAAGTCAATATTTATTTGCCATGTGCCGGAAGACCCATACAGGTACTGACAAAGGAAATCAAACATAATTTAAGAGAAACATCCTGGGTGATTTGGGGAGAGAGAAACAACGCAACATAAAATAGCAATGGAAGGTTAATAGAACGCATATAAAAGAAGCTGTTTTTACACAGAACATAGCCCTGAACAAAGTAGCTAATATCCTAGTGATTTACATCCTTAAAGAAGTGAAGCTTGATTTGGGCCATCAAGCAATTGTTACAATACAGCCTTTCCACGTCAGTTTTCCTCATTTGCTTGCTTAACAAATAAGGATTTGGCTGGGAAATAGCCAAATATGTTTTGTCTGTGAAATACGTGACTAGCCTGGGACACAAACAGAGCCTTGAAACACTAATGCCCAACTAGTCTATTGCGTTTCAAGGAAACACATGAGGCTGTTTTCCAGCCAATTTCTCAAAAAAGGTTTGTAGGGGAAAGTAACACGTGAAAAAGCTGTCCCAAATTATGTGAAAAAACAAGAAATGCCTCCCAGATATTCCAGTTGAAATCTGATTATTTTATAATAATCTTTATTGCGGTCCAACAACCCATAACATGGATTCAGAATAAAATACAGATTCATACAGACACCCCCCCAGGGAAGGGAGACCGAAGCGTTATTGGTTTAGTCATGGGTATGTTGATCTTTGATTCGTATGACTACTGAAAGAAACTTTGCCACGGCCACTGTGATATCATTGGACTTGTCATCCAGAAGATATTTGATATGGTAGGCTTCAGATTGACCCGGCCGATTTGCCAATAGTGGTTTAATCAATAGTTCCCTAGCTTGATCATATTGTCCGCAATGCAATAAAATATGCCTCATGCAGTCAAGAGATCCTATCTTGATAAGGGATACCTCTCAGTATGCCGTTTAACACTTCTGATGGGAATACATTTAATCTGGCTTTGGTGAAAAGATGCTGATATGTTGGTACAGACAAATTTATAAGATATGCAGGTGTCTGGAACTCGAACCTATAGTGAATTCCTACTGCTAATGGGCCACAGATAACATGAGATTGAGATCGGAGATCACTATGTGATATGTCCCAGAGCCTTTGCCTCAGAGATTCCAGGGCGGTATCAAAGCACAGATGGTACAGGAGAGAAGGTGGAATACCAATCGAAGCGGCTTTTCTAACCATAATTTTCATCCATGAGCTGGTAAACTCATTGTTTAGGTATGGAAGTAAGCCCTTCCCTAGGCCAAAGACTGAGATCTTGAGCCAGTATCTCAGGGCAGTCCACCATGCTTTAGTTAATAGAGGACATTCACCTGTTTCTGAAAATAGTATTGCATTTGGAACACAATTTGGAACTTGTAGGAGGGACCGGAGAAACTTTGCATGGAAGCCATCGAACCTGGAGAATGAGCCATTGAACCAGACATTTGAGGCATAGAGGAGTTGAGAGACAGATGTTGCATTAAATACCTCAATGGCTGATGGAACATAATGGCCTCTCCTTGTATAAAAGAACAGTATAGCCAGTTTGCTTACCTCTGCCTTTTGATAGGCGGTTTACCAATGATGTTTCCAGGACTTGGAATGATGAAATAGAAGCCCTAGGTACTGGAAGAATTTGGTCTGCTCTAGTTTGTGACCGTCCAGTACCTATTTACTCGGGGACAATCTCTTCTCAAACACCAGGACTTTTGATTTTTCATAATTGATGGATAACCTATTACCAGAGCAGTAGTCTGAGAATTTCCTTAGTTGGTAGTTCAGGCCAGGTCTGGGTTGGGAGAGAATGGCTGCGTCATCCGCATACAAAAAGAAAGGGGTCTTTCTCGTCCCTATTTTTGGAAGATGGCCATCAGGGTCCATTAAGCTTGCCTCTAAGTCATTCAGAAACAAACTGAACAAAGTGGGGGCCAAAATGAATCCCTGTCTCACTCCCCTGTCCATCTCAATACAGTCCAAGAGCTGGCCCTGCAACCCTCACCTAACCTGCAAATTGCTTCCACAGTACGGGGCTTTTATAAGATATAGGAGACGTTTATCCTTCAGTACTAGATGTACTGGTAATTTGGACCATAGTTGGAATCTGGTGATGGAGTCAAAGGCAGATTTCAGGTCCATAAAGGCCACAAAGAGTTTTCCCTGTAGAGGTCTAGTGTACTTCTCGGCTAGGAGGGACAGCATTAGACAGTGGTCTGATGTTGAGTGGTTCTCGTGGAAAGTTGCCTGAGCTTCAGATAGTATATTATAGTCATTTAGAAAAGTTGTCAGTTTGTTACAGAGAAAGCGGGCATACAGCTTTCCTATAGTTGAAAGCAGACTGATTGGCCTATAATTAGAAGGCACGTTTGGCTGGCCTCTCTTAAAGATTGGGACTACTTGTCACGGAACAGACAGGGAACGCCCTTGGGTGAAGGGAAGCGGGAGTATCAGAGCAGGGACAAGTCAGACGGGGAAAACAGGGAAATGACAGACAAGCAGGGGAGGAGAAGGCGGAGAGAAGTCAAGTGGTGTCAGGGCTCTGCGATGCTGGAGAGCCCTGCCACCAAGCAGGGAGTTCAGGAACAGAAGGGGAAGCGGTGCCTTCAGCACAGGCGAGCAGAGTTAAAATGCAGGGATCAAAGACATCTTGTGAGATTCTCACGTCTGCTGTGTTGGAGAAGGAGCTGAAGGAAGCCACTCCCCGAATGTAACTCATCGGATTCAGATGCATGATTTGGAACTGTAGCTGTTTGTACATATGTAAATAAAGAACTGTACAGTGGTACCTCGGGTTACATACGCTTCAGGTTACATACACTTTAGGTTACAGACTCCGCTAACCCAGAAACAGTTACGAACTTTGCTTCAGGATTCAGAAATCGTGCTCCGGCAGCGCGGCAGCAGCAGGAGGCCCTATTAGCTAAAGTGGTGCTTCAGGTCAGCGGCGTAGCGTGGATTGTCAGCACCCGGGGCAAGGCAAGTAATTTGCGCCCCCTAACCCGGGGCAAGGCAAGTAATTTGCGCCCCCTAACCCCTAACCTGCCGCCGCTGCCAGCTTCTTCTTGCTGCTGCCTGGGCTGGGGTATTTACAGTAAGGTAGCCACGGCGGCGGCGGGTCCGTGTCAGGTGATCTGAGGCGAGTTGCCGCTGGCGCTGCTGCCCAAACGACGACGCTTGCACGGAGGAGGAGGGCAGAGAGGCGAGGAAAATGCAACATGGCCCAGCCGCTGCTGCAGCAGTGGCGGCGGCGGGGCTGTGAGGAGGGGCTGCCTGGTGCGCCCTCCGCGGCCCTGACGCGCGGGGACCGCGGCGAGCGCTGAGAGCCGCTGCCAGCTCGTCGGTTCCGCAAGACATGGGGCTCTGCTACAGCCTGCGCCCGAGGCTCTTCGGCGACTCCGGAGGCGGCGCGCGCCCCCCCCAGATGTTGCGCCCGGTGCGGCCGGCCCCCCCTGCACCCCCACGCTACGCCACTGCTTCAGGTAAAGAACAGTTTCAGGTTAAGAACAGACCTCCGGAACGAATTAAGTACTTAACCCGAGGTACAACTGTAAATATCTCTCTGAGTGAGCAGAGGGTGTTAATTGTGAAGAGCGGACACCACCTTGACACTACTATTGCATGTTGCCAGCTAGACAGTACTTTGCCCGAGTTTTTTGCTATAGTAAAAAGTGCCGCCAGAAGAGGAGCCCACCAGTGCTGATTTGATATGATCAATTCAACTGAGATAAAGCCATTTCCCGGGGCCTTACCACTCTTCAGGTTCCCAATTAATGTATAGACTTCTTCCACTGTAACCGGGCTCCATTGTGGGGGCAGTGACAGTTCTGCCGAATCTTCATCATAAAAACTGGCGGGGAGATTTGAATTTTCCATGAATATATTTCTAAAATTGTTCTCCCATACCTGAACTGGAAGGGGACATGGGTGGCACTGTGGGTTAAACCACAGAGCCTAGGACTTGCCGATCAGAAGGTTGGTGGTTCAAATCCCCATGACGGGGTGAGCTCCTGTTGTTCAGTCCCTGCTCCTGCCAACCTAGCAGTTCGAAAGCACATCAAAGTGCAAGTAGATAAATAGGTACCGCTCCGGCGGGAAGCTAAACGGCGTTTCCGTGCGCTGCTCTGGTTTGCCAGAAGCGGCTTAGTCATGCTGGCCACATGACCCGGAAGCTGTACGCCGGCTCCCTCGGCCAATAAAGCGAGATGAGCGCCACAACCCCAGAGTCGGCCACGACTGGACCTAATGGTCAGGGGTCTCTCTACCTTTACCTTACCTGAGTTGGAATGGCACAGCTAGGGGCTGGGGAGCTATTGCTCAGGAAACCGGAGACCAGTTTCCAGAAGGGTTTTGTTTCATTGTTTAGTGAAGCATTCAGTAAGAGAGACCAGGAGTTTTGTTCAGACTGCCTTTTTTTTTCTTTTTTCTTTTTGAAGCCAAAAGGCCTTTGTACTCTTTTTTAAATTTTGAAATAGGTTGGGGGTAAATAGTTTAGGCCAGCGCTTCTGTAGAGCTACAAGTGAGAGCAGGGTGGAGATCAAAGGTGGTGAACTACCCCAGAAGGAACACAAAGGTACAACCCCTCCCCTAACAAAAAATAATTCCTAGCTTAAGGCAAACTGATATTTCATGCCTGTATCTAGGCCATATTCTAGGCCATTTTGATTAACTGAGAAACTGGAGCAGCTGGATGTCGTCTTTTCACAACAAACTGAACAGCCAAAATGTGGTGCACCGTTAAGTATAATTAAATATGTTAAATGAGACCCCCAAAGTCTTGTTTCTAAGAACAAGTGATGATGGGCTTTGACAGGTCTTGTAGAGGAGGGGCCATGAGTGACAAGCCCCTGTTCCATGCATCAGCCAATCTTACCTAGTTGGCAATTACAACACTCCCTGAAGGATCTCAATGATTATGTGGATTGATATATGGAGAGATGCTCCTTAAACCTTTTAAAGTCCTAAGAGTGAAAAATCAACAAAGCTTGACAGTTCTGGGAAGGACTCTTAAGTCCTCTTCATTTCAATTGGCCCTGAGTAGATAAAACCACCATTTTAACAGAGAGTAATTTATTTTATATTCATTCTAGTTAGAAAACCGACTGCAGTGAATCTGCTTGTGTTTTCAAATTTCAGCTTACTCTAGGGATCAAGCAGGCTAGAGATCTAAATATTCTGCTAAAAGTACACTTCAGATTGAAAAGGCTCAATTACAGTAATAGACTTTGGCTAAAAATTACAGATAAGCAAGCAATTACTGCTCATTATTGAACTTGTGCTATGTGCAGCACCTAACCGCTTCAGGCAACTCATAAACATTATTAAATTCAATACATAACTTACCAATTTTACACTCTTTGCAAGTAAAATTACTCCAGCTATCGCCATTCCAGTGCTGATGTTCTGCAGAAAATAACATAATAAATTATTTCATAAATTGTTTAAGTCTCCACTACATGACTTTCATTTAATTGAAGCCAGAGCATGCTATCATTATAAAGAGGAAAGGAAAAAATACATATCTGAGAGCAGCCACAGTTATGTGTCAGAAAGGTTTTCTGACTTAGGTTTCAGTTAATCTAGACAACAACAACAAAACTAAGTTTACAAAGGGATCTCAGATTTAGTTTTCTCTAAGCAATCCATTATTTAAGGAAAAATTAAATAAATAAAAGGAAAGTAAATGATACAAAATTTATAATTATTTTTGGGGCATCTGCTGAATTCATTATCTAGCAGCACAATCCTAACTGGGCCTATTCAGAAGTCTTATTTAATTCCACATGGCTTACTCTTGGGATTGTATCCCCCTCTCCATAAAATTTATATACTACTTGGTAGTAAAAAGCAAACAAACCTCAAAGCGGCTTTAGAGTAGAGCTTACTTTGGAGTAAATACGCATGGGATTGTGCTAAAATGCAAGTAACTGCAACCCCAAACCTCATTAAAATACTTGGGACTTCTAAGATGGAAGGGACTCCAAAGGTCATCTAGTTTAACCCCAGCAATTCAGGAATCACAGTTAAAGAATGCCTTGCAGATGGCCACTCAACCTCTGCTTAAAAATCTCCAATGAATGAGAGTCCACCACCTTCCAAGGAAATCCATTCCACTCTCAAAGCAGTTCTGATCATCAGAAATTCCTTCCTAACATTTACAGTAGTTGGAATCTTTTTTCTTGTAACATGAATCCATTGGTTCATATCCTACCCTCTGGAACAGCAGAAAACAAGTTTGCTCCCTCTTCTATGTGACCACCTTTCAGATACTTGAAGATGGCTATCATATCATCTCTGTCTCCTCTTCTCCAGGCTAAGCATACCCAGTTTCAACCCTGACAGAACTCTGTGGCGCCCCACTTCTCACTTGTTCCCAGGATGGCAAGGAACCACTACTGAAACATCTTTGGGTTATGAGTAAATATGCGTAGGAACATATTTTGAACATGGTCATCATAGCATTGTGCACACTAAACTACAGATGATTGACGTATTGAATTTGCTCAGAGATGTTGCCATTCTGAAACTGTTGCCCATCACAAATGAACCAGTCATTTATAAATCTTAGAAAATATGACATATTGAAAATCTATTTTGCCGATTTTTATTTGTTTACTGGTTTTGACCCAGGTTCCGCAGTTAGCCCAGCAGAACCCAGAGGTCTCCCATCTGACTCCCAGAATAGCTTCTGGTAAAAAGGAACACACACACACTCATTATTTTGAACCTCAACCACTTTCACTTCCAACTTCCTCTCTCTCCAGAGTGTGAATAGCAACAGATACTCTTCCACACCTCCTCTCCTTATGCAGCCAGCTTCATATGGGTCTATGCAAGCCTTTGCTGCTGTTCACGCCTTGCCCAAATCTCTGCTAGTGAGAGTGAGTCTAGGCAGGAAGAGCAGCGACCCAGTGAAATGAATTGCAACAGATTAATCCTCTAAATTTTATTTACGGCATGTGCATAAATTTTCATATGAGTATTCTGGGAAGCATGGATAGTAGCAAGCTTCCAACTTTTTAATTTTATTTGTAACACACCTTTATGCTCAGGCTTTTCCTGATCATTAGTGCTAGATCTACTGCCCGAGATTTCTTGATCTCCTGATATTTGCATACTTGCATACTTCAATCCATTCTAAACACACCTGTTAGGGAGCAAGCTTCATAAACCGACTTCCTTCTGTGCATAGAGTGCAATTAGTCTGAGAATTCAGAGGTAGCCACAGTGGTACCTCAGGTTAAGAACTTAATTCGTTCTGGAGTTTGAGGAAGCCTGGTCTAGGGCTTACAGATCGGAAGGTCGGCGGGCACGTCAAAGTGAAAGATAAATAGGTACCGCTCCGGCGGGAAGGTAAATGTGTTCATGATTGGACTTAACTGTCAGGGGTCCTTTACCTTTTTTACAGACCTGGTGGCTGTGACGTTCAGTCTTGTTTCCAGAACTATTTCCCAAGTCTGCATCACCCCCGTTCCCCAACTCCTCTTTGCCCCACATGACAAAACACACTTCATACTTTGAAGGAAGGAGAACACCTTTATAAGTTAGTATTTCCTAACATCTTTGGACTGCGGAGGAACATCATTTGACTCCATGAAATCAAACTCTTCCCTCACAGGGAGGAGCAAACGCATCTCATTGTCCCCTCAGCCAGTGAAGCAAATCGTAAGGTAAAGGTAAAGGGACCCCTGGCCATTAGGTCCAGTCGTGGCTGACTCTGGGGTTGCAGCGCTCATCTCGCTTTATTGGCTGAGGGAGCCGGCGTACAGCTTCCGGGTCATGTGGCCAGCATGACTAAGCCACTTCTGGCGAACCAGAGCAGCGCACGGAAATGCCGTTTACCTTCCCACCGGAGTGGTACCTATTTATCTACTTGAACTTTGACATGCTTTCGAACTGGTAGGTGGGCAGGAGCAGGGACTGAGCAATCGCGGGGATTCGAACAGCCGACCTTCTGATCTGCAAGTCCTAGGCTTTGTGGTTTAATCCACAGCGCCACCCGTGTCCCTTGAAGCAAATCGTGCACATGAGCAAAGGCGGAACCAAAATAGGCCAAAGAGGGGACTCCCATGTTCCCCCCTCCATCCGCACCCGGGTCCCTGTTACAGCCTAGCGCAGCAGAGCAACAAACCAGAACCTGTTCCCGTGCCTCCAGGGCACGCAATCAAGAAGGGAAAGAGCGCCTCTGAGCATATGCTTAGTGCCCATCCCCAACGATGGTGCGCGGCCACGACATATTTGGAGAAGCAGCAGGGATCCCGGGCTGCAGAGATTCAACATGCCCATTTATTGTCTTGGTCGTCGCCGTTCTGACCTCTTTTCGTTTCAGCCTATCCCCAAAGACCTAAGGGCGAAGGCAAGCAAGCGCGCCCTGCCAAGGCGCCAACCGGCTCCCTCCCTCGCCACTGCTCCTACCCGGACGAGGGTGAGGTGCTCGTCCGCCCATGCCGAGAGGCGAGAGACGTAATTCGCCGGCTCCCCGCCTCGTTGCCCCGCCATGGCTGACCAGGCGCCGCCACTGCCTGCGCCTTCCTTTCCTCGGGCTTCCGCACGCACCAGGGCGCAGCGCCGCTTGCCGGACACTTGCAGGAGTCACGCCTTCATTGCTGCTGCTGCTGCTGCTGCTGCTGCTGCAATAAAAAAGATTCAGTCGACGCCGGTGTTCTTCCTTCCTTCTCCTAGCTTCCCCTTCGTGGTTTGCCGTAAACTGATTACAGCGCAGTCCTAACTAGGGTTGCCGCCTTTGTTCTGGCCAAATATAGGGGGGGGGGAGCGATTTTTATTTTTGTATCCGGTGCTGAAGTGTTTTTGTTTTTATTATGTATTTTGTGGTTTTATATCTTGATTTTATTCTGTGAACCACCCTGAAACCCCCGTGTATAGGGCGGTATATAAATTCTATAAATTCAATTAATAATAATAATAATAATAATAATAATAATAATAATAATAATGTGACTTCAGCAACCCATTACCAATCTGTTGCAGCCTATTGTCAACACACGCATGGATTTGTAACACGTGTCTGAGCTTGGTTACCCTGAGCTTAAATATGACCTTTCACACCATGGGCGGAGGGGGAGCGTTGACCTCCCCTAAATCAAGAGATATCAATAAAAATACTAAACTGTGGTTCTGCACCCCCTAACAAAAATCCTGGCTAAGCCCATGTTTCACACGCCCTTCCAAACACATGCATTTAAGAGAGGATCCTTTGGCAGAAACCTGCAATGCAAAACTGTATGAATACAGGACGTAGCATTTTGCATTGGGATATCGGACAACACAGGAGAGGCGGGCAACCCTAGCTAACCATGTCTTCTCAGAACTACTGAATTTACCTGGTTGCTCCCAGGTAAGCCAGCTTACAGCCCTATTCACCTATTTGCCAGAAGGAGGGAAGGGCAATGGCACTTCACAGGACTTATTTCTTGGGGAGGCAGGGTTAGGGTTAATGGGGGGGCTGCTTAGGTGTTTGCAGGTATCAATGAGGATCGGGCAGTTGCAAAACTTGACAGACTCTCGGTTTGAAGCAGGCGCACACAACGCAACGCAACCCCTGCAGCTGCTCAAAAAAAGCACGCGGCTCTTCACTTCCGGCCTCCAAAAAGCCGCTCTACCCCTCTCGGATCTTTCCCCGCCTCTCTGCCCTCCCTTAAGCACCTCCTTTGAGAACCGGAAGCGAAGCGGCCGTTCCTTCGAGCCCGCTCTATAGTTCTTCCCTATCCCTTCTCTTCCCCTTGATAGGATGGCTTCCCGGTGACGTAGCTCGCCTGCTCCTCCAGTCAGATAGGACCACGGCTGCTCAGAGCTCTTCGGCTGCCTTGGCGGTACCTTTGCGAGCCGGGTTGTGTTTCCAGCCGGGGAAGTTCGACGCGTCGGACCGTGCCGGGTAGAAAGTGGGGTTGGGGTGGGCCTGGGGGGTGGGCAGGAATTTATTTCCCTTCATTGTTTCCTAACGGACTTTTGGGGGCCGGGAGAAGGGAAATTGGTGTTTTGTCGACGAGGAAGAAGCCACTGCTTTGTTTTGGTGGGGAAGCTCCGCGAGGAGGCCCGTGACTTCCAGCTGACGAGCCTGAAGGCGTCCTCGACTTCTCCGTCCTTCCAGCGGGTGCGAGGGGACCCCTCTGACCTGGAGCGGGTTTGGCCCAGGTGGGAGGCGGAAGAGGGAAGGCCGGGCTCCTGTTCCAGGCGGGGCGGAGCTGGAAGCCTCCCTTGAGCTGCCCTGCTGCTGCCGCCGCGGCGGGGGAAAGGCTCCCCGGTCCCGAGGACGACGGCGCTGGACTACGTGTGCGACATGTCCCCCACCATCTCCTACAAAGACAGCAGCCGGCAGCGCCGGCCGGGCTCCTACCAGAACTCAGTGGATATGCTGAAGAGGGAGCTCCCGCCCCCGGACTTCTGCGGGGATGGCCGCGCCGAAGTGGGGATGACCGAGAGGCGCTTCTCCAAGAGCCGAGCGTCACGCCGTTGGGGACACCCCGGGGCTACCGAGCGGAGCTGGGCAGCATCTTGCTGCTGCTCTTCCTCTACGTGCTGCAGGGCATCCCGCTGGGGCTCGCCGGCAGCATCCCGCTCATCTTGCAAAGCAAGAACGTGAGCTACACGGACCAGGCTTTCTTCAGCTTCGTCTTCTGGCCTTTCAGCTTGAAGCTGCTGTGGGCCCCCCTGGTGGATGCCGTGTACTTCAAGAACTTTGGCCGGCGCAAGTCGTGGCTTGTGCCCACTCAGTACACCTTGGGGCTTTTTATGATGTACCTTTCCAGGCAGGTGGACTCTTTGCTTGGGGAGGAGGATGGCAAAAGCCCAGATGTGGTGGCTCTTACAGTGACCTTCTTCTTGTTTGAGTTTCTGGCAGCCACTCAGGACATAGCTGTAGATGGCTGGGCATTGACTATGTTGTCTCGGGAGAATGTGGGCTATGCTTCCACTTGCAACTCTGTGGGACAGACAGCTGGCTACTTCTTGGGAAATGTCTTGTTCTTGGCTCTGGAATCAGCCTCCTTCTGCAACAAGTATTTGCGGTTTCAGCCTCAACCCAGAGGAATTGTAACGCTTTCAGGTATAAATTTTTGAAACGAATGTAATGATGCAGATCTATCCGAGAGCCCCTTTTATCTCTCCCCCACAGCTTCTATGTCCTCTTCAGGTTGACAGTTGTTCATGTGTAGTGTGGTAAGAAGTGGTGATGGATTAGTCTACCATGGAACATTTCATTTACGCCCCTCTTATAGAACTGCAAAAAGAATTACAGTACTTGTGTGGATTTGCTATTCCAGATTGCTATATCAGCTGCCCAACTTTGAAGGTTCACATTTGTTTAGGAACTGTCTGATCTTGATACACAATTTTGATAAAAAACTGGTGGTGTGGGTGGATGGGTGAAACCTGGAAGAACACATTGAAAATGCGGTGTTATCTTACAGAAGTTTTGGCATTTGCTGGTTCATGCTAGATACCAATTCTGCATTTACACATTTTGCCCAGATTACTTTGCTTGAAAATGGAGCTGCCATGTCATCTTAATTAATTAATAAGCTAAACTAAGCTAGTGGTCCTCATCCATGTTGCTAACATTAATAATAATGAGAGGTAACATACTTCAGATAACTATGGTGAAAAGACCCAAAGCAAAATGAACAATTATAGCAGGCACACCCAACTTCCAAGAGACTGCCATCTACTCACACTATAACAAACTGGCAGAGATCTACCCATTGGATTGACCAGAGTTGAGCTTTTTTTCCTGCTTTTTTTTGGGAGGGGGTGTCAGGAGCCTGCGATTGACAAGGGACAACCATGGGCATCCCGTGATCGACCAGTAGATCGTGATCAACCGGTTGGACAGGCCTGAGTTATAGTATAGGTTTACAACTAGAAGCAGAATTGGTAAAGACCTGTCAAATCTAGTTTTTTCAGAACTCTCTTCAAGAATGGGAAACGAGACATTACTTTCACACATCTACTTTCCTGCCACCATAAGGTTCTGCATAAGGTTGAAATCACACAATTGAAATGTAAGGTGTAATCATATGGTATTAAAAACAGTTTAGAAGCAATTGTAGTCACAGGAATAGGGTGGTTCCTGAAAATACACATCTCAATTGCCAGAGACCAGAGCAAAAAGGTGTGTCTTTAGCATATGTTGGACATTGTGTATGTTTCTGAAAAAAAGTGATTAATACAATATATATAATATAATGAAGGTGCCAGATGTACTTCTGTGGGGAGGGAATTCCACAACCTAGGAACTACCACAAAGAATTCCCTCTCCCACAGCACCCTGCTTGAACTTTTGAGGGCAGTGGAACTACCAAGGAGGCCCCCTCTACTGATCTTGACAACAAGAGCGTCTGTATGGAAGTTATGGGTTACTGTTATATCAGATAGACACAACAAAGAGGCAACAGAGGTCCCAGTGATTTCAGACTGGCTACTTTTAAATCTTGCTTTGTGCATGCATGTTTTAATTTATCACAATGCTTCCAGTTTGTTAAGTAGGGTTCTTGAGGTTGGGGATAAGAGTATTTGCTTAAATGAGTTCTTAAATTTCATTATTCTTAAGTTAATTTGCTTATTCATATTGTGGTCTCCAAATCCATTCCTACAGGGATTAATCTGACATCTTTTCTTCTGGTGAAGATTAAGGCCGCACTATGTAGACTGCTTGCTCCTGCGAAGCCCCTTATTCATTTAGATGAGCTAATAATCCAGCATAAATTACCAGTAATTAGTTTTGTGAAATCTATTTTTCTTATTGGATGGTATGTTAATTGTTTTATGAAGGTTGCAGCTAGTCTTAGTGTTGGTTTTAAATAGTATGTTATTAGCATCAAGTGTCTTCATAATGGAAAAGGTTTCATTTCCCCTTCAGATTTCCTATTTTACTGGGGTGCTGTTTTCTTAATCACTACCACCTTGGTTGCACTCTTGAAAAAAGAAGATAGGGAAAGACACCCATCAAAAGAAGAAACAAAAGGCATCATGGATACGTACAAGCTGCTCTTCTCAATAGTAAAAATGCCAGCAGTCCTTACATTTTGTGCCCTGATTTTAACAGCAAAAGTGAGTACATGATTTGCGATTATCATTTGAGAATGTGCCTCATTTTTATAAGTTCCTGTTATTCATGGACCTATATGCCAGTCTTATGAGCTACTATGCCAGAAAACATATTAATTGAGAAGAGAGCTACAATTGCTACCTACCTACCTACCTAGCTATTTATTTATTTATTTGATTTATATACCGCCCTTTAACCAAAGATCCCAGGGTGGTGTACAACATTAAGAACATAATTTATGGAGCATAATAATAAAAGCCTAATACTGAACATAATAATAGACAGCATAACAATAAAATAATCATAATAACAGTCCGTCCCCTCTGCCACATTTAACAGGCCATAGATTGTTTAATGGCCAAACACCCTGGTAAAGAGGAATGTTTTCACCTGGCACCTAAAGACAAGTAACACTGGCACCAGGTGAGCCTCTCTGGGGAGAGTGTTTCACAGTTGAGGGAACCATCACAGAAAAGGCCCATTCTCATGTTGTAAGTCTCTAAACCTCTCAGGAGTGGGGTCATAGAGAAGGACAAGCACATGGTCTAGATCAGTTTATATGGGGAGAGGTGGTCCTTAAGGTATTGTGGTCCTGAACCGTGTAAGTTATGAGATAGCATTGTAGCTGAGTTGCTACAAAGCAATATGTGTGTCATCTTAAGTATGCACTTTCTGTAGGAGCAATAGATTGTAAGCCCTATACAGTCGTGCCTTGCAAGACGAAAAGAATCCGTTCTGTGATTCTCTTCGTCTAGCGGTTTTTTTCGTCTTGCGAAGCAAGCCCATTGAAGGATTAGCGGATTAGCGCTTTTAGTGGCTTTTAGCGGCTTATCTGCTGATCGGATCAGCTGATAAGCGGCTTAGAAAAAGTGGGGGGGGAGGAAAAAAAACCAGCAGGAACTCGCAAGACATTGTTGTCTTGCGAAGCAAGCCCATAGGAAATTCGTTTTGCGAAGCACCTCCAAAACGGAAAACTCTTTCGTCTAGCGAGTTTTCCGTCTTGCGAGGCATTCGTCTTGCGGGGCACCACTGTACAGACATTACTTTGTGTGCAGAGGGGGAAGCCAATGTGGTGTAATGGTTTCGAGTGTTGGACTAGGATCTGGGAGAGTAGAGTTCAAATCCCCACTTGGCCATGAAGCCCACTGAGTGACCTTGTGGCAGTCACTGCCTCTCAGCCCAACCTACTTTACAGGGTTGATGTGGGAATAAATTGAGGAGGAATGAACTAGATTAAAATACATGTCAACCTTCTGCATCTCTGGATAGGCTTGCCTAAACAAAAATGCTTTCATCTAGTGTCAAAACCATTGATGTCAATAGGCAGAGAGTTCCAATGAAATGACAACAAGATTGCATTTCTCAGTGGTTGAAGTGTTTAAACTATTGGACTTTTCAGAATTGGCATTCCAGGGGATGGCAAGCTCCCACTTTTGTTTTCTTCCTGTCCCTAACAGAGAACATGACCCTTGTTAGCTCTGTAATGCTGACTGTGCTGTTACTTTTTTGTATTTTTCTACACCATTCTCTGACATGGGAGGGGAAAGAGGGAGCCTCATGCTCAGTCTCCAGAGGGCTGCTCTTTCTTTGATTGAGAGCTCATTGAATGCAGTCAGTTGAGAGAGTAACAGAGCTGTTGTCATTGGCTCCCTGATGGCTGCAATTGAGCAGTCATATCTTAACCTAATCAGCAGGGATATAAAAGAGGATTATGACGATGGCCCCATAGCGTGCTGCAATGGATCCTAGAAGTCCTCAATTAACCATAATTTCCTCTTACGTCTGAATCAGAAAAAAACATGATTACTACAGTTTCAAGTTCTTTGTTCTGAACCTAGTCACCATAGCCCCTCCCCCCTTTCTGGTTCTGATTTAACTCTGGTTAATTGCTGGCATTGTGGCATATTGCAGCATGCCAGGGAGGGAATTGGTAGCACAGCAACAAAACTCACAGGCAGAAGGCTTGAGCATGTCTCAGCTTATTAAACTACAGCACGATCATTCAACTTTTCCTAGGGTTCTTTCTTAAAAATTTTTTGTAATTTGCAAGACTGCATAAACAATACGCAACCGAAGCCTCTCTGCCAGGGAGCTGGATTAAAAAAACAGTTGTTGAACGAGTTTGTTCTAAAAACAAACTCAGCTCCTGAGAGCCAACAGGATTGTTTCTCAGTGACTATCATAGCTGAAAGAGGGAGGTATTGGCATGCAAGGGGAAGCTCTGTTAAATATCCCGGAAGAAGGTATTACTAGACCGTTGGAACCCTGGACAAGAGTCGTCCACACTGTAACATTTTGTTGCAGTTCCTACTTGTTTAACAAGTAGGATTGTTACTTGGGTTATATTTATGAAGCCATGCTAGCACTGCAAGATTATTGATCCAATACAGTGGTACCTCAGGTTATAAACGCTTCAGGTTACAAACTCAGCTAACCCAGATTTTGCTCCAGATTGCGAAATTTGCCCCAGGATGAGAATGGAAATCACACAGCGGCAGCAGGAGGCCCCATCAGCGAAAGCGCGCCTCAGGTTAAGAATGGTTTGGGGTTAAGAACGGACCTACAGAATGAATTAAGTTTGTAACCCGAGGTACCACTGTAATTATTTTTGTATAGCCTCCCGTATTTGCCCTGATATGGTTATCAGCTGTGTTGCTTCCTGTCAAATGTTGGAATGATTCTGATTGTTCAAGAAGCTGCAATCTCAAATCAAGGTTTCATACCCTACTTTGATGGCCCACCACAAACCATGGTTTATAAACTGACACAGACTCAGGCAAAAAAGCAAACCATGGATTTTGCATAATGTCTAAATGTCCATGGATTTTGCGTAATGTTCTATAAGCAGAGGGGCACGATTTAATTTGTCTAAGCTAGTGATTCCCAAACTGGTCCATGAACCACCTGTGGTCTGCAAGCTTCATTTAAGTAGTATGTGGCATGTAATACTGATTTTTAGCTGTATTTCGATTGTTTCTTTTATTTCTTATATGTCATTCTATTTTATTACTATCTGCATTCAATAACTGAACAATGTAAGAGAAAAAGAAGCAATAAAAATACAATTAAAATCATACATCATCCAGTACAGTGCATTACAATTGCTGTAGTGAGCAGAAAAATCATTAAGTGGTCTGCAAGACACTCAACAGTTTTCAAGTGGTCCATGGGGAAAAAATGTTTGGAACCACTAGACTAAGCCAAAGGTGGGGTTGAGAACCTATGGAATCACTGGGTGCCAACTCCCATAAACCTCAGTCAACATGACCAATGATCAGGGATGATTTGAGTTGTCTGGAGGACCACAGGTTCGCTTTCACAGTCTGCTGCTTAAATACTGATTGCTATTCTGGACCACAGTGTTGGGAGTTTGGATCTGGATTTAAGTTCCAGAAAGTCCAGGGATGGGTGACCATGAATAAGTTACTACATATCAGTACAGCAGGAAAACCTTGTTGTATGTGCGTAAGATTGTAAAAGGTTTTTATGTTGCAGATCGGATTCTCGGCAGCGGATGCAGTCACAGGCCTCAAACTGGTAGAAGAAGGAGTACCTAAAGAACACTTGGCTCTTCTTGCTGTTCCAATGGTTCCACTGCAGATCATATTGCCTCTGATTATCAGCAAATACACAGCAGGTCCACAGCCCCTGAACACATTTTACAAAGCTATGCCTTTTAGGTAAAAAGCCTCTTGATAGTTAAACCTGATAATACACAACTCTGTTAATGTGAAACTATAATTTTGTAACCATTAAAAGCAATGAGATGTGCATGTTGGGCTTTTACTTGGAAAGCTTTGCCGTGGTTATTGGTTCAAAATCCCCTACTCTTGTTCGCTACGCAATTTATAATGAAGTGCTGTAGCTTTGCTAAATTATCCTTTACAAGAGCTGTGCTTGGTTAAAATTCCACTTGGGTCAGAACAAGTGTTTTATTTTCCACACTTAGCTTTCATTAGATGACTTTCCCCCTATGGACAAGGCTAAGTTCAAGGTATTGGTTCTGATGTATAAAACCCTGGGCAGCTTGGAATCAGGATACCTAAATTAGTCTTTAGATACTCAATGAGTTACTGTGCTCTGCAGGAGAAGGCATCCTGCAGATACCATCTTATAGGGAGGTCCGCATTCTGTGTGATGCTGAAACTGGGCCTTAAGTGTTGTGCCACATGCCATTTGGAATGCCCTCCTGCTAAATATTAGATAGGTGCCGCCTCTGTAGACATTTTGACACCTGCTGAAGACCTTCCTCTTTCAACAGGTCTTTTAAGTAGAGATATTTCCCAGTCTGCATCTGTATAGGAATTGTTTTTAGATGTGTTTATTGTTTTATCTTTTGTGGCATTTGGGGGCCTTTCATTTCCATGATGACCACAGAATGTGTCTCATGGATCACTCATTTCCTTCCAGCTTATATGGATGGGAAACAACAGGTTATGTAGGAGTAGCCAACATAGTATTCTCCATATGCTTTGGACTGGAACCCCTCCATCGCCCCTCATCATTGGCTGGCTGAGGCTGATGGGCCTTGGAGTGCCCATCTAGAGGGGACCATGTTGACTACCCCAAGGTTAGGCAGCTTAGTATCAAAGGGGCTGATTTCAGTCTTGCATGGCCTGCCTCTTTTTAACTAGAATTCCTGAAATCTACTTGCTAAGTTGCAGATCATGGTCAAGGGGGAGACATCTTAACCATGATTTGGTAAGCAAAACCTTGATTTAGCTGCCATCTGCTGATGTTAAAAGGCCCAGGGAGGAGCAAAGTGTGTGCGAGCCAGCACATTTGCACAGTTGCTTATTGTCATGTGCAAAGCAGACCTTGTTTAAGGTGCGTTACTGAATCAACCCAAAGTTCATCTAGATCAGCATTCTTCAAAATCTGCATCTGTTAGGTAGCCCACCAGAAACTGGCCAGTGAATCACCACTGGGTCATAATCTGACTCTGCCGTGTCTCAGGTCTACCCCTTGTCAAAATTTTTGGGTTGCCTTCCTAGCTCGTATTGGTTTAATGCAGACATGATGAGAGGTTTTGGGTATTCAAGGTGTTTCCCCATATCTTTTTCCTACAGGTTACTCTTTGGGTTGGAATTTGCTTTCTTGGTTTGGTGGACTCCCAAAGTAAAATACGAAGGAGGATTTCCCATCTATTACTATATTATATTGCTTCTGAGTTATGCTTTGCATCAGGTAATAAGTTGCTGTGTGTGTGTGTATTTGAGTAGTCTATGTAGATACAAGGCTTTGATATATATATGAAGAATGTATTGAGCTTAGGCTTTGTTACCAATTAAGGTATATTAAATTTCCTAAAACACATTTGTCTACTATCTACAAGTCTTTACTGTTACTGTTAGTACTAGAGAAGGATGGACCAGTTTCTTTCTTTACCATGTTAAATATAGTGGGGTAGGAGAGCTGAAAATAATGCCAGTATATTTCACATCTGTCAACCAATGTGCCCCTTTAGTTTCAGGTGTTACATGGGTAGATGAGTGTATAAAGCCAGGGACAGACATTTTCACGGCTCTCTGGCAGCTGTGGTGGCTCATTTACCAGAAGTAATGTGTTTAGCATTAACTCTGGAAGTGTAAACTGTATTCTGACCAAACCAAGCCTAGGAGTATACAGATTGCCAGATGTGAATTTTTTCCCCAGCTCTTCCACCGCACTATGTAAGTGTTTTCCTTACTGAAATCTTGTGTTGGAGGGTTATTTTGTTGCAAAACCACTGTTTTTGTTTCTTCCTACAAGATATGTAAAAGTGGGAATCTTTGGTCTTCCAAGACCCCAGCAGCTCTCAACAGCTGGCCCCTTTTGACTACATTTCATGTTAAACGGCAGCTCCACAGTGTTCCATAAGACATTTCACTAAAATAGCCGTTGCTACTTGAAGCTGTTCTCTTGCGTAATTCTCTTTGTGTTCATCTGTCTTTCCCCCAGGTTACGCTGTACAGCATGTATGTTGCTATAATGGCTTTCAATGCCAAAGTTAGTGACCCACTCATAGGCGGAACATACATGACACTACTTAACACAGTGTCGAATTTGGGTGGAAACTGGCCGGCAACAGTAGCTCTTTGGCTTGTGGATCCACTTACAGTGAAGGAGTGTGTCGGAGCTCCAGGACATAACTGCGGGACTGCAGCTGCTGCAGAAGTAAGTTTCTTATAAGAGACGCTTTCATTCCAATACTAGTCTTGATGCACTGACACTAACTTTCTGCACTGATATTTCCTCCCCATTTAAAAAGCATCTTAGGAATAGCTTTTGCTCTTGCATATTATCAAGTGAGATAATTTGCACCTGTGTTAGATATGCAAGACCTTCGCTTTATTCACCTTATGGGGTTTGAACAGTGTGATTTTAACCACATAGTATTGTGATAGCAAAGTTGTAAGACTTTCCCAGAATGCTCGTATAAGATCATCTTGAAAGAATAATTGTTCCTTCAGCTTTGGCTACAACCCACATGCTTTGATTGTTTTGCTCCAGTAGACATCACTGATGGGGCATTATGAAGCTTAAGGCAGCTGCATTACTCCCTACAGAAGTATAGTCTTTTAATTTAAAAGGGGATGGGCATCTGGGGAAAAACGTCTTTTTTCCCTAGATGCCCACCCCCTTCTTATTTTTTTAAAAAATATTGTTTTTTGCCAAGCATGTAAAGCCAAATCTGCACAATTTAAATGTACACAAGTTGCGAGTTACCTGTAATAGAAAATTATTATTAATGGGTGGCAACCAAAGTTAGTCATACTCTGAGCAGACCCATTGGAATCAATGGACTTTGTAACATCCACTGATTTTAATGGGGATACCACTTAGTTAGATACCACCCAACATACTATATTTTTAAGGATAAAAGCAGTGTGTTCATCTAGAATGCTTCATCAATGCATTTTAACTTATTCTGTTGATACATATATCCGTATAACATCTTTTGACGCCCTTCTCCCATTCTCTCTTGCAGCTTTGTACAAAAGAAGGTGGATCATGTATTATTACCTTGGATGGTTATTACGTGGAATCCCTAATATGCGTGGCTTTGGGATTTGTTTGGTGGTTGTTTCCTCGGTCCCAAATTCAAAAAGCTGCAGAACGAGAGGGCATCTTCATGGAAATGCAGGAGAACCAGTTCATAGGAAAACACTGACAAAAGTTGTTATTGTTTTATCCCATAATGAGTACACACAAAAATAAATACATCTATGTAGGGGGGAAATGGCCATTTTATGCCAAATGACTTTCCAAAAAACCAAGCCAGGAAAGTAGTATATGGATCAGTTAAAAAAGCACACACACCAACAATATTTCCTTAAGTTAAAAATGAATAAATAATCATACCGGAAACAGCACTTTAAAACTACAGAGCTGTTGTGCTAAGTTGCAGCGTCTGCCTTTTGTCTTCTGATTGATTTCTTTAACATTATCTCTAAACAAAACTTTTATGAAACCATAACATTTTGATTTAAATGTAAACGTTGAATGTATATGGTAAAATAAGCTGTAGAGAGAACAATCAATCTGATACATTTTCCACAACCCCTTTTAATTGCTGACCATAACTACGCTTTATGGGAGAAAACAATGAGTATCAAAAGATTCTCTCAAATGTATTTTCCTGGCTTCTACAAGCTTTAAAGATTTATAAGAGGAATATTTTTATAATGGTGAAAATTTAGCTTTTTTCTTTTCTTTTAATGTGCACACTTGACTTCAAGGCACTTGATTTGCATATAGAAGTGGTTTCTTCAGGACAGCATTTGTATGAGAGAAGCAGCTTACGTTGATCACACCTGGTAGAACGGGCTTCCAAAAGATTAGGGGCACATATAAGGCCAGTGAATTCAGCTTGCTTGAAAAAGCAAATATGCTGTTTCTCAAGAATTGCTGTTTTTTCTTTTATGAGGCCCAAAGAGGACTACGCAAAAGATGTGGTGCCTTTTGAAAAGAAATGGTGATGGATTGTCTGTACTTTCATTGTTTTAGGACATTCATATCGTTCTAATGTAAGTCATTCAATCATTCCTGGCTGCTGCCTGGAATCTCCTACAACTGGTAACGCGATTTTTGCAATTCTCATTATTAAGAGGGAATCTTCTCTTTGGTGCCTTAAGGATGTACAATACAATGTATATCACATAAGAAAGGGGCACTGTTATAGTATGTTGTTGGATGTATTTTGTACATCTCATGATATTAAAATACCTTCAAAAGGTGTGGCAGGCTAGTGTCATACTCTTGATGCTGTCTCAGTTTTACTGGTTATTTCAAGAGGTCAATTCTTTCTGAAATGGATATTAATTCTTGATTCCAAGTGAATCTGTGATTTACGGTGTACTGTTTTTCTTTTAAAGCTCTTTTCTGAGTGTAAATAAATGTTAAGCCTGTTTGAGAAGGAAGTTTACACAGCTCTTAAGCACACTTACTTGGGAGTAAATGCCACTGAAATTAGTGGGACCTACTTCCAGGGAAACAGAGTTAGGATCATAGGGTTGGGAGAGATTTTAAAATCAACAGAGAGAAAAACATTCTTAGTCTGCCCTTGATCTATATTCCTCTCCTTCTGAAGAGCAATGTATAACCGAAATTGCCAACACCTTAAGATCCCAGTACTCAGATTTATAGCTGTTTAAATGGTTTGTGGATTTCAGGGATCCTTCTGCAACCTTAAAACTATATTTATAGCCAGCTGTTTGTTTGTACAATAATAGGGAGAACTCCTGGACTGCTCCCAATCAGATTTTAAGATTGCAGCCTATCAATGATATTCATAAACTAGTTAAATCAGCAATACTCTGATTGAATTCATGGACCTAAACTAGATAACATACAGTTTAAACATATTTAACTAGTGACTTTGGCAGGAAATTGGGTTACACATTGCTTCCCTGTGGCCACTTGTTTAATATGTTCTGCAGGTAGGCAGTATGTGCTGAGATTGCAGGTTGTTTGTGTGTTCTGTTGGTTGAGCTCCAATAACTCCATTTAGATTTGGCTGGTAGAATATAGGGATGACATTTTTATTGGTCCCTCCTGCGCCTTTAAAAGCAGCTTGATTTGCTGGCATTTGTTAGGTGATAATGCTGATCTCTAACAGCAAAGAGTTGTACCTGTTGATTTCTGTAGATCAAGCTGATGTTGAAGGCATGGTGTTGGCTGGGTTTTGGGTCTGTTAGTAAATCTCATAGGGTTTGAGACACTCTAGTCCCCACCTCCCGCTCTGGGCATATTCTAACATGGTGATATTGTTGTATTAATATCTTGTAGTTCAGTTCATGTGAATAATCAGACCTGTTTACTTGAATGAAAAATCCTTGGCGCTCTCACTAAGTACTTTTAGTTTTCATTCATTGTTTACAATAAACTGATTTTGTTTGCCTTAATTTTGATCCATCCCTATTGGCTAGGTGGGACGAATAAAATGATGCTACTTTAATACTATATGTGTATGATAGTTAATGAGAGGATATTTAAAAAACTTGTGTTTATCATTTCCATTTATTTTTGGTTTGCCGCAGCATAAATGAAAAGCCTGTTAACAGAGAACGTTTATTAACTGTCTCTAGACAATGTTAGGGAGGGGATGCTTCTAGAAAAAAGGTGTCTGGCTTGCAGAACATGCACAGGAAATTAGCCAGTGAGGCTTTTTATGTTTTCCAGTTCTGTATTACGGTTTATACAGGGTGCCAAGAAAAATAAAGGCTATGCATTTAAACAAATGTCTGATGCTGTAGAGTAAATGTTGTGAATGGCTAATTAAACTAAAACCCAGAATCAATAGCAAAGCTTGAAATAAGTTTCCTAAAAAATGAGAGACATTAAAAGAAATTTCAGCATACTCCGAGAATGAAAGAAGTGCTCAGCATTACTTTTTTTGCACTTAAACACATTTGTATTAAACTTGTTGTGTTGAATTCTTGGACACTCATCACCGATGTGATTTTGCAGAGGAATTCCTATAGATTTGGAAGCATATCCTGAGTTGTGCCTGCACCCGAGATAGCAGAGTCTGTGGAGTTGCTATAGGTTAAGCATCCACCTTTCACTTATCTGAATTGTACTAAATGAGAACAAAATGAGACCTGTAGTTATTGAAGGCTATCTGCATTATTTGAGAGGTAAATTATGCTGCTTGATATAATTTCAGGTGCAGGCTACAAATGATGTAAATTGGGGAAAAGGTCTAATTAAAGTTCTATATGGTGTTCCTTTAATTGGAGTAAATAATAACGTGATACTCTTGGCATAAAATTGCTCCCCATTTTCAAGATATTGAGTGATTCCTTGACAGCAGTTTTGATCATTCATGGCAATCAAGTACAATTACCTCACAAAAAGTGGAACACATCTTCTCACTTGTATATAAGGTTCACAAGAAAATGTTTTCTATAGCAATAATCACGTCATGTGAAAGGAGAAATTGTCAAGGGGGGAGATGTGCTGAGTTGTGATAAAAGTATTATTTGATAACTACCACTTGAGCTCTCATCTGCACTCTGTGATGCTGTCTTCAGTTCTGATTAGATTTACAAAGCTTAAGCTGTTTTTTTCTGGGTTTTCTATTGGCTATAAAGTTCATAGTTTGAAGAATATTCTTTTTATATCTTCAAAGGTTCATCAGAGATGCCTGTAGAAGTATTGAATAATAAAATATTGCCTTTTTTAAAAAAAAGGCTAAAACTATTTGCTCGATACAAACTATATATAAAGCAAGTTAATCTACAAAGGATTTGTAGATGTACATACTTGTTGAAGGTGTACATATTTGTTGATGAAAAAAACTAAAATATTGCTCAAATGGATGACAAATTGATTTAAGTGTGAATCATATAAGTAATGGCCAGGAACTCTGTGAAACCAATTCCTTTGACTGTAATAGAGAGTGGAAACAGAAGTATAATGTATATGTTAGAATATTTCTTGACTGTTCATTTGTTTCCTTTATAATGTGCTGTAAATTGAGGCACTGGTACACACAAAATAGGTTTGCTTTTGAAACAGCTGTTAGTCATAATGAAGAACAGAACAAAACGGCTGCACCATTTCATGATTAAAAATAGCTGACTTGTAAAATGGAACAAACGTGTTTAATTTTTCTATTTTACCCAAAGCGTTTCCTGGGTTTTCTCTTCATGTTTAAGCTTTAAAATAAATAAATAAATAAGTTCTGTCAATTGATAAATATGAGACGACACAATTACCTTGCTGAAAGTGCTAAATTTACAGAACCATATCCCTTAGGAAGTCTCAGAAGCTCTATCTATTGTTTCAATAAAGCAACATTGCAATTTTATTTTTTGTGTCTGTATTGATCAGCCAAACTAGTCTTGGGAGCCCTATTGAGAACATTGGTTTAGAAATGTGTTCATTGCTGGCATTTGATACTAACAATCATTGCTGTGGCACTATTTTATTTCGTGCTGTATCTCCTCTCTTATTTTATGCCAGTGTCTGAGATGAAGATGGAAGCCAAAAGGGCTGTCAGAGCAGCTGGTAATTAAACCCAACAACTTAAAATGTTTATTGCGCTAAGCAATAGAACAGCAGCAGCAGTTAAAACCCTATGTGTGATAAAACAAACTGCAGATAAGTTTTTTGCCTCCTGCTCAAAAGATAACAAAGTTGGCACCAGGAAAGCATCTCTGGGGAGGGATGTTCAAAGGCAGGAGCCACCACTAAAAAGACTCTGTCTTGAGTCCCTTGGTTGAATGTGGTGGTATAGAAAGAAGGGCCTCTGAAGGTTATCTCAGGTTTTGGGCTGGCTCCTGCAGGAACGACTGAACATTGAAAGCAGTGTTTGAATGTGAAAGGTGACAGCCTTGCAAAATGTTTTAGGAACATTTGTGATCCTTTCGACTGGAAATCCAGGCCAGGGACTGAACTTGGTTGCCTCTCTATGCAACATCTGTGACTTGCAGATTGGTTTCGTATTCTCTGTTGTTTTTGGCTTCCTCCGAAGAATCCCAAGAACTGTAGCTGGTTAAGGGTGCTGGGAATTGTAGCTCTGTGATTCTTTGTGGGAAGCAATGTGCTTAAAATGTACAGTGTGGATCTGAACCAATAGTCTGGATCATGCCAGTATCGTATGCAATTGTTTCCTTGAATGCTAGTGGGATAATTCCAAGACTGCTCTGGAGTAAGTGATTCATAGCTTTGTGTATCAAGCTAGATGTCCCTGGATTAAAATCAGAGCAGAATACCAAAGTCAGGCACAGGGAGAGTAAAGTCATCACTCAATTCCCCAAGCAATTGCTCTCTTCTTGAATCACTCAGTTCCTAGCTGTGTGGGCAGCACTCAGGGTCCCTGGTTGAAAAATCAATGTTCTAGAGGTGCCCAGTGGTGTTTTAAATACAGTAGTACCTCGGGTTACATACGCTTCAGGTTACATACGCTTCAGGTTACAGACTCCGCTAACCCAGAAATAGTACCTCGGGTTAAGAACTTTGCTTCAGGATGAGAACAGAAATTGTGCTCTGGCGGCACAGCAGCAGCAGGAGGCCCCATTAGGTAAAGTGGTGCTTCAGGTTAAGAACAGTTTCAGGTTAAGAACGGACCTCCAGAACGAATTAAGTACTTAACCCAAGGTACCATTGTACTGGTTAGAACATGGGTAGGCAAACTAAGGCCCGGGGGCTGGATCCGGCGCAATCGCCTTCTAAATCTGGCCCACAGACAGTCCAGGAATCAGCATATTTAGAATGTGCCCCCAAAATATAATCCACCCCCTCCCCACACAAGGGACAGTGGACCCCTGCTGAAAAAGTTTGCTGACTCCTGGGTTAGAACTACAACCTACACAGCTGAAAAAACAGATCTTTGCAAGGCCCTTTCAGCACTGTGTGTGTTATTTTGCGCTTGCCTTTGGCCTCCCTGCTGATTTTGCTTTGTCCACACTCCAGGTAGATCTTAACCCCCTGCCTCTACTTAGAAGTTGGAAAATGAATGTTTTATCTGTGATCAGAAAGTGTCTGTAACCTAGTAGGGTCAAGCGTAAGTGCACCGTTCAGGGGACCAGATGGAAAAGAGGGCAAGGCTCCTGACCCTGTTGTTAGAGCATGAGACCCTTAATCTTAGGGTTGTGGGTTTGAGCCCCATGTTGGGCTAAAGATTCCTGCATTGCAGGGAGGGGGTTGGACTAGATGACCCTTCTGGTCCCTTTCAATTCTATGATTCTATGACTTTGTTGACTATTACTTCTGACACGTGTGCAGAAGAAGGGGTTTGGGCAGCAGCAACCTGTCACTTGATGGTAAGAGCACAAACCTCAAACGCCTGTGTGATGCTTAAAGGCATTGAGCCCTGGCCCTCCTTTCTACCTGGCCACCCTACCCAACTTGCAAATGTATGTTAGCTTATTATTGGCTCTGAACCTGTAGGACACTGCCCTCTGCTGCTAGCCAGGGGACTATCAGACGGTAGCATCCTCTCCCTATTGGGAAGAACATCGTGGCAAAGGAAAGGCCAAAGTTGGTCTTTGGCTAGAGAACCTGCACCTACAGGGAGCTTATTCCCCTACTCTTCCCTGGCACAAGGAACCCTGTAAGAAATGAATAAAAACAATAAAAGAGAAAAGAAAGATTAGCAATAGAGCATAGCAATCTGTAGTGCGGTAACATACAGTTCGAGTAAATCCAATCGGACCAAAACTAAAAGCAGGAAGACTGTTCACAGCGCATAACTTAATTATGTCAGGCTGCAATCCTAAACCCACTTGCCTAAGCCTAAGCCCTATGAAGTCAAGAGGGCTTACTTCCAAGGAGACATGTTTAGACTTGAACTATCAATGGGACTTAAATTAAGCAATGACTAACTCCCAGCTCCTGCCCACCTAGCAGTTCGAAAGCCCGTCAAAGTTCAAGTAGATAAATAGGTACTGCTCCGGCAGGAAGGTAAACGGCGTTTCCGTGTGCTGCTCTGGTTGGCCAGAAGTGGCTTAGTCCTGCTGGCCACATGACCCAGACGCTGTACGCCGGCTCCCTCAGCCAATAAAGCGAGATGAGCGCCGCAACCCCAGAGTCGGCCACGACTGAACCTAATGGTCAGGGGTCCCTTTACCTTTACCTAACTTAATTGCATGGATTGCAGTGAGACCTAAGTGCAACTTAAGCTGCAATCTGATGCATACTTGCTTGTGAGTAAGCCTCATTGGATTCTGTAAAACCTCTGAGTAGATTTTTAGTTTATTCAGCTCCGGCCCATCTGGAGCTGATATGGCTCATGTCGTCCTGAGCCCAGCAGAGTGTAATCTCGTAGTCCGCAACGAAAGGATAAGCAGGTATGACTACATTGCTATTTTATTTCGCTATACTGAGAACACACAAATGTACATCTTGCCTCTGTGAGAGCAGAGAACAACTCTCTCGACAAAGAAATGACAGAACAAAGGAAACAGGAAACCAGTGTACGTCACATCCAGTCTCCCTTTCCCATGGGAACCCAACAGTAACTGAACTGTGGAATGAAAACATTGTCTTGTGACATGCAGCTGCTGCTCAGTGAGGGAAACATAACCTTCCAAGGAGACATGTTTAGACTTGGACTATCAATGGGATTTAAATTAAGCAATGACTAACTTAATTGCAGTTCTGTGCGCTGCTCTGGTTCGCCAGAAGCGGCTTAGTCGTGCTGGCCACATGACCCAGAAACTGTACGCGGGCTCCCTCAGCCAGTAAAGCGAGATGAGCGCTACAACCCCAGAGTCATCCGCGACTGGACCTAATGGTCAGGGGTCCCTTTACCTTTAACTTAATTGCATGGATTGCAATGAGACCTAAGTGCAACTTAAGATGCAATCTGATGCATACTTGCTTGTGAGTAAGCCTCATTGGATTCTGTAAAACCTCTGAGTAGATGTGCCTAGGCTTCCTCTGAAACTTAGTCTGAATCCAACCCAATACACCAGGCATAGGCAAACTCAGCCCTCCAGATGTTTTGGGACTGCAACTCCCATCATCCCTAGCTAACAGGACCAGTGGTCAGGGATGATGGGAGTTGTAGTCCCAAAACATCTGGAGGGCCGAGTTTGCCTATGCCTGCAATACACAAACCAATATGTGCAAAAGTTTAAAGCAGCCAGCGGTGAAAAAAAGTCTGTTTTGGCTACAGCAGAAATTCCAAGATTGGAATAGAAAACACCTATAAAACTGTGTGTTTAACAATAGTGGAGCCCAGTCCTGCTATCAAATTGTGCTAGAGGCTTATCAGATAGTTTATGTTACAAACTAGATTGAGCCCTGCATAAACCAGCTAAGAATATGATTCTACAAAGAAAGCTGTTCTAATCTAAACTGAGCAGAAAGGGTGTGATTTCTGAAGTGGAACAAAGTCATGGTAAAGAGAGTTCTGAGATAACTCTCCTGCATATATTCCACACACACACACCCATTTCATTTTGTTAGATGGAGGATGTGTGCCTGTGTGTTTTCAGTGAATCATGCAGCGTACACTAGATATCTCCAGACTATTTGCATGCCTTCTATTTGCAGAAAATATTAATGTGAAGGAATGAGATCTGCTACTGTGACAAACGTCGTATCCCTGACCAAATGTTAAGTCCCAGGTGAGTAATCCTGTACATATCTACCCAGAAGTAATATCCACTGTGTACGGTGGGACTTACTCCCAAGTAAGCCTGTGTAGGACAGGATTGCAGCCTTAAATGGGATGCCAGAGCTGTTGCTGGTTTTTCTTGATGGACTTTTTATTCAGATTTACATCTAGGGGAAAAATCAATTGGTATACCAATTTTGTTATAAATGTGCTTTCATCTCTTTGAAAAAACAACAACCGCTAGCAACCTCTAGTGAGCAGAACATGAAGCTACAAGGTGAGTTGACACAGCGCAAGATGAAAAACCTTTAATCGCCCAAACATTTACTATAAAGGGCCCTCTAGACATCTTTTTTTAATTGTGGATTCATGATGGTTTGTGCTCATCATGGTATGAGGTGGTTATACAGGATCCAGCTTTCAATTTTGCTTGCAAGTGGGTAAGTTTTGGGGAAGTCATATTGCTTTGTTTCCCATCAGGCTGGGAAGGATAAGAAGAGTTTGGATTTGATATCTGGCTTTATCACTACCCGAAGGAGTCTGAAAGCGGCTAACATTCTCCTTTCCCTTCCTCCCCCACAACAAACACTCTGTGAGGTAAGTGGGGCTGAGAGACTGCAGAGAAGTGTGACTGGCCCAAGGTCACCCAGCAGCTGCATGTGGAAGAGGAGGGAATCGAACCCAGTTCACCAGATTACAAGTCTACCGCTCTTAACCACTACACCACACTGGCTCTCAAACTG